CCAATGCAGAGCCCTGACCCTCCCCTAACACCTACTCTTCGTCCTTGCTCACTGACCCTTGCAGGCATTCGCAGCACTTTCTAGTAAAACGGAACCAATTCCATGGACTTTAGCCACCCATGTTATGGATTTTTTTTTCTTCATTTCTTTTTACGACATTTTTATTGTAGTAGTTGCCGTTTTTCCTTTCATTTGGTGAAAATGCAGCTGTTGAAGTCATTAACCCTCAGTGCAAAGACCCTCACAATTTGTGGTTCGTGTTTCAAGCCCCCACAGCTGTGTCGAGTTTGAGCGTGCGCTCACGGCCTCTGGGCAGGCGCCCTCCCCGCCGGTGGTGTTTGTGGCTCCGCTTCTCCCCAGCGCCCTTTGCTCAGAGGTCGCTCACAGCTAGAGTCGCCTTGCCCAAGTCACACTTCCTTTCTGGGAGGGGTTTTCTAGTAATCGGCCAAGGTAGAGATTTAGAAGTCTGCCTCTTTTGCCCCAACTTAAGACAGCCCCGAGAGGTCACCCCAGTTTCAGTGTTACCTGGGGGAGGGATTGAGGCCTCAATTCCGCTCTCTTTTCCCCACTCACCATGATTTGAAGAGCGCTGTCCATGTAAATGCCTGTGCAACTCTGGATTTCAGTGTCCACTTCTGGGCAGCCCAACTGGCAACAGTTGGCTCCAGGGATGCTTTGAGAAAGCTGAATCGCCCCTCATGCAAGCCGACGGTAAGACCCTCCTCGCCGGCTATGGGTGAGGCCTGCTGGCGTTGTCAGCGCCGACAGCCACTGGGGGCGAGGGGGCATTGGGTGCCAGTAGCTCAGCGTAGGAGGACAAGAGAGCAATAGAATGGGGCGGTGAAGACGGGCCAGCAAAGGCGCAGGGCGGTGAGGCACTTTTTAAGGAGCAGGGACCTTCTCGGCAGCGTGGAGGGAAACGGCAGCTCGCATGCTCACGGGCTGGGCCTCCGCGGGCCGAGCTCCTCTGCCTCGTCCTCTCCTGTCGCCTACCTGGGTCATGGGGAGGATGTTTCCCGCCATCGCTTCCAGGCTTGATCTTTTTGGGTTGTGACTGGGTGTGGAAGTGAACAAAGCCTTGGGGGTGCTGCAAAGACTGTTCCCCTGCCTGCTGGTTTGTTGTCCTTTTGTAATTGAGACAGAGACCTGTGCAGCGGCCGGGTCGATGGCCGTGTGCCGTGTGCCTGAGACTAGGAGGGTCCAACTGGCGACAAGGTGGCACCGCAGCTGTCACCTCTGCCGTGGGCAAGGCCCAGGCGATCTGCGGCCATCATGCAGGAACTACCATGTCTCTGCGGACCAGGCTGCTCAATCTTGACGCCTTTAACAGTGGCAGTAATCCTGCCCGACACAGAGATTTTGTTTTGGTTTTATTTTCCTTCTAGGGAGAGGCAATTTTGGGGGTTCCCAGTTGGCCTTCCACCGGAATGGCTCTTGTAACACAGATCAACTGCCAGGTACAGTAAATCCAGTTGCAAGTCTGGGAAGATGCTCCCGAGCATCTGGTGACTCAGCACTGTCACTTGGTGTCTGTTTCGCTGTTGCTTTACGGCTTTATCCTCACGATATTGGCCACGCTAGGTAATGTGTTCGTCATGATCAGCTCTGGCCTCAGAGAACTACGGCTCAACCACCTAGTGATGTTGATTCTGACCACTGCTTTCCTCAAAGCCCGAGGAGTTGCATGTCCTCTGGACCCGCTCGTGGAATACAATCTGTGGGCGGGGTGAGGGGGGACTTCTGGTGTCATCTCACAGACAGACCTAATTGGGCCACTCGTAGCCACATTCCCTCAGTCACTCCAGGCTTCTGATAACCTAACCGGGATTTTGACTCACAGCCCTGGGGTTCTTGCCAGGGTGTTAAAAATCTCAGGTCTTGAGAACATGTCCCTTGCCAAGGGATTCTTGCTTATCCATTCTCATGTTCCAGCCCTGTGACATAGAGTCCTTGAAACCCACGCCCAGTGTTTGTTTCTTGTTTGTCTTTCTGTTGTGTTTATTTTTTTGAGGTCAGGCTAGTTCACAGCACTGGACTGCTGGGGTACAGGCTCACCCCTTCAGATGCCTGGCACCACACCCGCCCACCACCAAGACATCCAAAGTCCGCCCTGTAGACCAGTGGGCCCCTCCCCCTTGCCGCGCGTACCCCTCCCCCACCTCCCATCTGCTTGGTTTGCTCTGTTTGCTGCTATATCTGGGTTCCATATGCATGAAATCATCCTGTGTTTGTCTTTCTCCTTCAGATTGATTCGCTCAGCATAATCCATTATTGGTTTTCAAATGATTAACTAGTTCTCCCTGCAATATATTTATTTAAATTTTCCTTTCCACAAAACTTTTTGAAGTTATAACTAACGTGTTTTAACCTATTTTCCAACTTCTAGGGTTCAGAGCGTAACTCATTTTTCTTCCATTGTGTTTAGTAATTGAAATACTTCAATTATGAATTTTTCTCTGAGTGTCGTGCTGGCCACATCCCACACATTGTAGTTTGAAGTTTTTTCTTTCCTGATTTTATTTTTTAGATATTATGCGCCCAATTATGGTTTCAGTTACTTCATTCTTAAAGAGCTGTTTGCATGAGCTTTAAAATTTACAAATAGTAAGACTGTTGTTTGTTCCTAGCTTTATTGTAGCACGAGGAAGCAATCTGGGCTCACACCCCTTGTTTCCTGACGCATGTGAACGTGAGTGGCCGCAAGCTGGTATGCACCTCCATGCATGCACACAGACGTAAAGACACCTGCAGCACTCGGGGCCCGGATGCCCTTAAATTTTCCTGCACCCCGTGGTTTATCTGCAGCACCATTTCCTTGTCCAAAGTTGTTTCGTGTAGTGCATGGTGGGTTAGGGCGTCAGCAAATACACAGTAACGCCGCATGTGTTTCTAGTAGGGCGTCACTTCAAGACTTTATGGCAAAAGCGCTACTGCTTTTGTCTCCTCATGGTTCATGTGATCGAGTCCCTCTAGAGGCAGGTGTCACCAGATGCCCGGTCTGCTCCATGCCCACGTGCACCTGCACACACTTTCATTTGAAGCGTAGATCAGTGAAATATCTCCTGGGTTGCTTCCAGTCCACAGAGGGTAGGGGCGGTGGGGATGGGGGGGGGGAGTCCCGCGGTCTGTTCTCTCTCCACTACTGTGGCCTACAGCAATGGTATGTGAGACGTGACATGCGGGGCATGCCCGTGTTACAGCATCTCCGCTGTATGTGAGCATGTGAGCGGGGGGGGGGGGGTGGATCTGAGTCTGGTGATCTCTAGTGATGTTTGAAGTGACCAGGTAGGAGTGAGAACGATGGGGACTTGAGGAGCTTGGAGCAGAGCAGGAGCATCGGGCCTAGTCAGGGCAGCCACCACATGGCCATGTCCTCCCTGAAGGGGAACCCAAGGTCTGCCCGGTGGGGCTGGCGGGGCTGGTAGTCACGGGGCAGGGGATGACCAAGGTCTGGGTCAATGGGCCACTAAAGCTGAGCTGCTCAGACTTGATCGCAGAGAACACAGCTACACTTTGTCCTTTGCTGATATCTTTATTGATTGATTTCCCCTTTTCACACGATGGTGACGAAAAGCATATGCGTCCCCACCCCACCCACCCCCAATAAAATACAGACAGAGATTTCATTCAGCATATACAAGCATTGGGGCGTGTCTAAATTCACTCACTGGGGTACCAGGGCCAGGAGAGGTTCTGTCTTGGGGTCAGTCTGAGGCCTGAGGCCTAGAAACGGAGCAGGCTGAGGACTGACAGGCTGCCACTCAGGCTGCTGTTGTGGGGTGTTAGCAGAGACCAAAGAATCAAGTCATTGTGAACAGAGCTGCCCTGCCCTCTGATCTACAAGGCGGCAGTGGGTTCTTGGGTAGTTTCCAGTAAGATCCATCGAAATCTGTGCCTCTGGGTTCTCATCTGCAAAGTGGGGATAAGAATCCTGCCTTGGGCACATCACAGGGCTATGAGGCTCGAAACAGAACTGATTTGTCAGAAGTGCTTTGCGAAAGAGAAAGGTGCTGTACAAATTTGAGGGAATTCAATTGACTGACTGTGGCTGTGTGAATGCCCCGGGGAGGAGTGGACTGGCCCGAGGGCCCCGGGCGTGAGGCTGTGCTGAAGCTCCTACGCGGTGCCTTCGCTGGCACCGCTCAGTGCAGGAATACCAGCTGCAAACCAGAACCCTTTTCTTCCTCAGCCCGGGAAGCCACATGGCCTAGCACCTGGGTCAGGGCGGGAGAGTCACTGGGGGATTTACGGAAAGTCACGGGGTCAAGAAGGAAGGGCAGGTGGCATACGAAGCAGGGGTCATTACTAGTATCACACACGAAAACAGATGCCCACTGGATGTATGACATTGGACTGGTGGTCGGATGGCAGGGGGCCGGGTGGGGAGAGGAAGGTGTCACAGCAGCAGAGGGAGGGGTGCCGTCCCGGGACCTTCTGTTGCTGGCTCCCTGTGCCCAGAGGGATAATGCCAGCGGCTGCAATCTGCTGGGGGAGGGTGGGCGGGGAGATCAACCCAGAAGATAAATCATCTGACCAGAGGACGGCCCTGCCTCCTACCTGCTGCCCAGCACCGTAAGGTGGGGGCCTGACAGGCAAGCAGCTGGGCTGTGCACTTTGAGGCTGAAGCCAGAACTGGGCTGGGAGCACCACAGAGCAGCACTGGGTTCCTGGAAAAAGGCAGTGGGTGTCGGCACTGTTGAGAGCACGCCTGTCCGCTCCTCGTGAGCACGCGCGCTGTCGGCCTGGGGCTTCCGAGCCCCAGCAGCAGAAATGCCCCCTGCAGAACAGCAGTGGGCCACTGGCCTTGGCAGCGAGCTGCCAAGGAAATTCGGGATAGGCTGGGCAAGGGCGTGGGCTGGCAGAGAGTGTTCTCTGCTGGTTGGGATCGGGGCAGTGGGGAGGGAGAGACCCTGTAACTGTTCCTCCTGCTGCTGCTTTCCCTCAACTCCCTTAGCAAAGGGCCTGGGGCTTTCCCGGGGAACGGGGGGGCTGCCCCGCAGGGTGCCAGCCGGCACCTATAAGTTAAGACAGACGAGCCAGTAGAGCACATTGAAGAAGAAGAAGGTCACGGGGAAAAGCACGCGCGAGTAGTTATCCAGGCGGTACACGTGGATGTACAGGCGGCCCTTCTGCCACAGGCCGCCCTGGCAGCAGGGGACCCTGCACAGGTACTTCTGGTACCACTTGCAGCAGCCGCGGGCGCGCTGGGTGCTCCCCAGGCCCAGCGACTGCTGGGCAGGGCAGGACAGCTGCTCCTGCTCCTCCTCTTCCTCCACTGACTCTTCCACCTGGCACACAAAGGCTTCCTGCTGCAGGGCACGGGCACGGGCACGGCTGGCGGCGCGGGCGCGGGTGAGGCTGCGAGACTACAAAGCAGACCGGGGATGAAGTGAGGGGAAGCAGAGGAGAGCCAAGCCCAAGTGCCGCCTCAGCACGTCTGGAGAGTCTGTCCCTGGCACACGGTTCCTTGGCCCCTGGTGCCCCCACCGCACGTGGGGGAGTGGATTCGACATCCCCCCCACCTGCCCCCTGTGGCTCAGTGAGCCAGCTACCCGCGCGCCAAGAGGCCCGGGGCCTCCATCCTGCCAGGCCTGGCCACCGCGCCACACCCACGTCGTACATGGCGCAGCTTCGGCGCGCGGCGGGATCTTGTGTGGTTGTAGGTGAGGAAGTTGAGCACAGCGAACTCCATCAGCGCGCAAAAGCAGAAGACGAAGCAGACGGCGATGTAGAAATCCAAGGCAGTGATGTAAGAGACGCGGGGGAAATGCTTCCGGGTGAAGGAGCCCAAAGTAGTCATGGTGAGGACAGAGGTGATCCCTGTGGGTACAGGGGAGGGCGGGGCTCAGCAACTGAGGGCCCAGGGTGTCACTGTGGGGCAGGAGGCCACACACACTGCGACACACACTTACCTAGAGAGGTCCGGGCAGGAGCAGAGTCCTTCTTGATCCAGAAGGAGACCCAGGACAGCATGGTGGTCACGGAGGAAGGGACGTAGTTCTGGAAGGCCACATAGCCGAAGTGCCGGGTCACGTTGAAGAACAGCGTCAGGACTATGTAGTCACCTGTAAGACACAGGCAGGAAACACTGCCTGACAGCGCCCGCAAGGGTCTCCCCTCCCCATGGTTTGGCTCATGGGGTCCCCAGGAGCCACCGTGCAGGATGGCGAGAAGCCAGAGGAGGCGTTCGCTGTCAAGCACACGTCTGTGTGAGAGCTCAGCTAAGGCCAGGCCCCTGATGGCCCCTTTCACGGGTCACGGTCTCGCAGCCTGTCCATCTCGTCGCAGAGTCACATGAAAGTGAAAAAATCAGTTAGCCCTCTAGACGTTAGGGCCACACGGCTAATGTCCAGACGGCTGACTGGGGCCTTCAGGTCCACTGAAGTGCGCCCTCTGGTCTGCTTTGCCACCCCGACCGCACATGTGCAGGGAGAGAGCCCAGGGGCCGGTGCTCCGGTGGGCATGAGCAGGGCTTTCGCTTCTTTCCCCTCCGCTCACATGCTGGTGAATCGCCTCAGTGCTGCTGTGCCATCAGCAGCCGCTTCCCGCTCCGCTAAGGGCTACAGCAGCCCATGTGTTGGTGTCTGTGAACTCGCACTGGAGGCCTGCCGTGACCTGGCTCTAGCTGACTCCTTAGGCACGCACACACCTTGCCCTCAGCTCAGCTCACTCGCCTCAGCCTCCCGGAGACAACTTCCGATATTCCAGCCCTGGATTCCCTGTCTGTCTGCTACCCCTACCGCCAAGTAAGGGCTTGGGGAAAAAGAAGAATTAGCTGAAAGTGAAAATTTCAGTCAGCCCTCTAGATGTCAGGTGTGCGAGTATACATCCACAAGGCGGACTGAGGTCTTCACATTCATTTGAGCATCGTGTCCTTGACCTTGGCCCTCACCCGAGATGGAGGGCTGCTACCACACCTGATGACAACCTTCGCCTCTACCTGGCATCTTCTACTGCACCTTCATGCTGCCGTACACCCAGGCACACCACCCGGCGCTGCATGCTCTTGAGCATGCTGGATGTTCTGGGGGCTTCTAGATCCCGGTGGGGCAGGGCTCCTGTGACCCCTGTGCTTGGCGCTCCTGCCCATCTAAGCCCAGCTGGACTGCAGCAGTGGCCCAGTGGCTCCCACTGCCTGGCAACAGTGTAGCCACGCAGACCAAAATACCCACTTGCCCTCCTACTTTGGACAGATCACCTGCCCAGCGGGTCTGGGGATGCTGGCGCTGAATAGCAGTCTTTCCTACTCACCTTGGTGGCAGTGACCCTCAAGGGGCAAGACTTCTCAGAATCTTCTGGAACAAACCTAAGGAAGTAGCTCGGGATCACCGGAATACCTGTGTCCAAAGTAGTAGCTCTGCGCTAGGACTGTGCCTGCACAGCAGCTGCGGGGCCACTCACTCACCGACTGGCCAGAATACTTAGCAAGTTTCTGCTGCCTGCATGAATTCTTGTGGCAAGAATATCGATGATCCCGTCGGCCTTTTCTATGTTCACTCTGTTTGTTCCAGCAAAGAAGATCCTTCATTTGTCAAGAGATGGAAATTCTCTCTGAGGCCAAGAGCAAGGATGCTAACACATACTCTCTCTCACTCCTGAGGGATGGAGCAGAATGGTTACGGGGAGAAGGGTACCCGGGGCTGAAGAGCCGAAGGGGAAAGAAAGGTAAAGATGCTGCTCTCCGCTCCTGTCCCGTGGCAGACACAGCCGGCCACCGCACCGCGGGATTACAGAGGCGCCCAGAGGCTGGGGCGGGAGCAAGCGGACCCAGCGCTGGAGAAACGAAGGAAGGGGACAGACTTGGGTCCCGTAGCCCCATAAGAGAACACAACCCGCCATGGCAGTCCTGCGGTCTCGACCCTGTGGAAGAGTGCCTGGACTGGCACGAAGCGAACGCCTAAGGGTGGGGCGGCCAAGACTCGGATTTCAGCTGAGTGCGGACAGTTCTGATATCCAAAGGAGGAAGAAAGCCCCGTGCAAGAGCACGAAGTCCTGATCATGGATCGGCTTCTCTCAGAGGCTCAGCAGCCCCCAGTGAAGGAAGACCCCCGTGGGGCAAGGCCAGACTCCACGTGCCCCCTGAAGCAGCGGCCCCAGATGCCAGCACAGCAAGCCCCCCCTCCCCCATTCCGACAGCCCTTAGGAGCGAAGTGCTCAGATCTGGTCCGGATGTGGGAAATGCCCAGCCAGTGCCGGCCGGAAGAGCTTGCAACCAATCGCAAAGGTCATGGTCAAGCCCAAGAAACCGCAAGTCGAGATCAACTGGAACTGGTAGGGCTGGTGTTTACCGCTGCCATGACTCGGTGGCGACGCTGGCTCTGGGGCTTTGTAGTCACTAGGGCACCATTTTGAATCAGTGCACAACCATCTACTAAACGGAACCACTAGTGACTTGAAAGCCCCGGGGCCTTGTCTCCTCTGCCGCCTTTGACGACGGGCCCCGCCTGTGTGCGGAAACTGAGGTGCGAGAAGGCAAGCGGCAAGCCCATGGTTAGCTGGCAGAAGAGCAAGGACCCCAAGAAAAGGACAGCAAATCTGCTTGCTCCAAGCCCCCGAGAAAAAGGAAAGCATTGGGCAAGCAGCCTCCTGCCCAGCCCGGCGCGGCGCGAGCAAAGCTCCAGCCCCCGAGCACCAGCCCCGTCAGCCGCGACCAGCTCGACCAGGGACGCTAAAGCGGAGTCCCTGCCCAGCCACGAAGAAGCAAAGGGAGTCGCCTCCCGTGGCCAATGCCTGGCTCCAGCGGCATTCTGGACACAAGCTGGTGAGTGTGTGAAGAGAGCGCTCGGGGCTCCTACGGGAGCAGCCCAGGAGTCCCTCGGCTCGTCATTCAGATCACCTAGGGACACAAGCGGCGGTGCTCACACCAAAGTGGAAGCTCCTCAGAGACCCAAGACCCTCCTAGACCCTCCTAGACCCTCCTAGTTCTGGTCAGGGGCCAGGTCAGGAAACCCAGTCTCCATGTCTCTGTGGAATTCCCCAGAAGCCTTCCGGGAGCCTGTGCTCATCGGAGCTGTCCTTTGACATCGACGTGGCTATGCAGACGCGCAGCCGGTGGCCCCGCACTTTCTTCCGGCCTACCCCAGCCCTCACCGTGCAGCATGGAGCGCTGGCTCCAGCTGCAGCCTTGGCTTCCCCTCCTCCAGCCCGGGCTGGTTCTGGGGACGGAGAAGGCAATGAGCCCCGTCCCCCGACGCCAGCCAACAGGCCAGCTGTGCGCCACACATTGGAAAGGAAAGTCTGCACAAGAAAGGCAGCCGCAGACTGCGAGGGCGGGTGGGTCCCACGGGCTCACCGGCCCTCTTGGGGGCTGAGCAAAGCACTTACTTCTTTGCAGACAAGACTGAGGCATGGTTACGAAGTCTCAGTTTCCTCTGCAAACAGTCGTAAGTGCTTAGCCTCTGCAGGGCAGCCGCGCGATACAGTACTTGCACGGAGGGGTCCACGGCGCCGCCGCCCCAGCCCGGGCTCCGAGGCGCGCTTACCAGAGATGGTGGTGAGGGTCTCGGTCTTGTTGCTCACACCTGTGAAGTCAAACTGGAACAGCTTCCACGAGTTCTCCTCAGTGATCTCAAGCTCGAAATCATCCCACTTATAGACCATCTCATCCTCAGGGTAGGAGACTGTAAGACAACGCAGCACGTCAGGTGGCACTGCCGAGCCCCACAGGGCCCGCCAGCAGGGGCACGAGCAAAGCCTCGGAGCCCTGCCTCTGGTCTCACCGGCTGCGGCCTTGGCCGCTCTCACCTCACGGCCGGAGTGCGTTCAGCAAGCGCCTCACCGAGCGCGCTCCTCGTCGGGACCTGGCCCTGTGCTGGGCACACAGAGGTGAGCGAGGCAGGAGCCCTGCTCGCAATCTTCAGGCTTTCCTCAGGGAGACCGTAAGTGCGCATGTGCAACTTTGGAACTGCTCTGGGGAAGCTCTGCCTAAGGCACAGTGGGGCAGTAGAGGCTGGACAGATCTTGGGGACACGCCCGGGAAGGCTTCCCAGAGCAGCTGGATTCTCCATCAGTGTTAGGTGGATCCCGTGTTGTCCCTGTGGACGAGGCGGAAACGGTGGGGCAGGCGTGCTCTGCACAGGAAGGGCTGCCTGCCGTCCGGTGGGGCGGTCAGGAGGGCCAGCTCCCAGAGGCCGCACGAGGTGTGTGGGACAGCTAGCAAGGGCTGCTTCGTGAAGGCCCGTGAGGGTCATTCTAAGGAATCTAGAATCGATGTGTGAGTGTTCAGAAGGGGCTGGACACTAAGAAGTGACCTGGCCCGGCTGATGCTTCAGCCAGGCCTCCCTGCTCATATACAAGGTTAGTCTGTTGGCGGGCAACCAGTGAGGGGAGACCAGCGCAGTCCTCTGGGCACGAGGGAATGAGGGCAGGAGTCAAAGCTGGGGCTGTGAGCGCACAGGGAACAGCAGGGTCAGCGGGGACTCGGGGAGGAACCACAACGAGATGTCGGGTGAATAGATGTGCGCGTGAAGGGCAAAGCAGCACCAACGTTCTTAGCTTGAGAAACTGCGTGACGACGGCTCCTTGCAATGAAGCGGATGGGAACACACAGCTCACGCTAGCCGGGGGCAGCGCTCGGGCGGAGCTGGTGTCGCTAGCTCTGGACATGTCCTGTTTCAAAGGCGTCACTGAAGGCGGTGGTGGAAGATGGCAAAGCTCTAAGCCGTGGGGGTGGGGACCCGCTTGAGACGTCCTCAGAAGCAAGTGACTGACTCGAGGTGGGGCGGAAGGGGAGGGAGCAGCCGGCACTGTCACAGGAAGGAGATGAGAATGAGTAGCAGGCTCTGGGCAACCTCAGTGCCATCTCAGGAGGAAAGCGGAGGCAGAAGAATGGAAAGCACAAGGATGAGGAGAAGGGGCCCAGCGTGACTCTGGGCCCCGGAAACCTGAGAGGGTACTCACAGCTCGAGAAAGACAGAGGGCAAGTGTGAGAGTCCAGCGGGTATTTGAACATGTGCAGTGCACACCCGGCATCAATGCCCATCCTGGAAGGAGAGAGAGCCTCCTTAGGCCAGCCCCCAGCGCTCGGGCACCACCCGGCGCAGACCCGGGGGCGGTGCGCCCCGGCAGCAGCTGTGGTGGCCAGGCAGAGTTCAGCGGCCAGGCAGAAAGAGGAGAACAGCTCGGGGCAGAGTCCGGCCCTGTCGTGGTGAGGGGACGCGCAGCTCCGTGGGCTCGTTCCCTGCCCAGCACAAGCCCAGGACCTGCCCGCACCTCCCCCTCCCCGCTCTCTGCCACCCGCACTAGCCACCTTTCCCCACCGGGCATTCAAACACCCGGCCCGCTCTTGGCACCTTCCCCCCGCAGTGCTGTACTCGGCCTAGACACTTCCACCACCGCGGATGGGTCTTAGCATCCAGTGCCTGCGTGCGGTGCAACTGCCCTGGCGACGCAGTCGGCCAGCCCGGCCCGGGCCGAGCCTGGGCCTGCCAGCCGAGGTCCGGGCGCCGGTCCAGCTCTGCCATGAGCTGGGCTGTGGCCCTCAGCCTGGTCTTTTTACGTGGAGGCCTTAGTCTACAGGTGAGGGGTTGAGCTCCCGGTCTAAGAAGGGCGGAGGGGCCTGGAAGGCTCACTCAGGATGAGGCCTCTGCCCGGTCCTCGGCTGCCAGTTCTGAGAAGGGAAGGGGCAGTGCCAAGAGATAAGACTGCAGGGACGTGACCCACCTGATCGTGTACAAGACCCTGCCATCCCTGTGGATGCGGACCATCTGGCTGGGCACGGCGAACAGCTGCTCGTAGACACGCTTCGAATTTCTGAAGAAGGTGTCTGGGACCCACAGCTGGCTCACCAAGTTGCCAGAAAGCACGAAGCTGTCGACACTGCCATTGTAACGGAGGCGCTCGTCGTACCAGGTCTGGCAGAAGGTGATGTCGATGTTGTATTCCTGGCGGGCAGGACGGAAAAGCAAAAAGCACGCACTTGGGGCTGCACAGACCAAGAGCACAGTGCCACCCCACTGAGCAGGCTGAACCCCTTGGCTTTGGCCAGAGGCGAGCAGGGGAGCTCTGTGTTTCCAGGCCTTCCCCAAAGGAAGGGGCATTCCTGAGTGGGTCACACTCTGGGGAGACAAGTTTCATCCAAAACAGCCAGGTGCGGGGGCCGCTGCAGGCTGAGCCCCTCACACCCAGAGCCATTCGCGGGCCTGGGCTCAAAAGCCCACACACGCACGCGTGCACATGCGCTGTGAAGGTCCACTGTCGACTCCAATTGGAGGAGCACAAATGCTAATGAACATCGACCCTTCATTCTTCAAAATGGTATCAAGACCCTCAGTGCTTTGAACCCTGAGAGAAAGGTCTGTTCGGGCTCATGTCCTGGGATCCGTTTGCCTGTTTCGCTGCCCTCATCTGTGTCAACAAGCACCCTCGCCACCCCATGATGCCCATTAAACAGCAAGAAGGCCGCGTCGCAGCAAGAAGCACAAGAAAGCTCCTGCTAGGAAGGTACCCTGCTGGCAGACGGCATCGAACCGCCAGCACAGTGAACGGCCAGTGCCAGCCCGCCCGCCCTTACTTCAGGGGCTGAGAGAGAAGGGGGCCTGCCCAAAGCGCCACAGATAGCCAATGGCCGGCAGCAGGCACACAGGCCCTGGCGCACAGAGCGTCATCACGCAGCCGGCCCTGTGGCAGCCGGCGCCAGTGCCTTCCCCAGGCTTGGCTTCACTTGGGCCCACTTTGCCTCTGTAGAACTGTCTTTCTCGAGTCGCCCTAGATCAAACAATGACACCAACCAGACACCCATGAGCCTGGAGCCCTGCAGAGCCTGGGAAGGTTAAGATAGACCCCTGCTGCCCAGGCCAAAGTGGGCAAGATGGCTGCCTTGTGGCCAGACAAAGTCCTGCCCTGCCAGGCCGCGAAAGTGGCCTCAGAGAGTTTCTAAGGCCCCAAGGGTCTCTCCTTCCTCCCAGGCCAAGTGAACCACCTCTAGCCTGGGGCGACTTCCTCCACAGTCCATGTGCCTGCTCTGTGCCCATGTGTTCCAAATGAGCATTTAATTTCTTTCTAACAAGATGCCAGTTCTAAGTCCACATCCATTGATACTAACAGTTCAATTTTTCCCGTTTGACAAGGGCGCTTGGGAGCTACAGCTGAAATTCTAGAACTTCATTGGCCAGGAATTGGCTTCATTAGAGTTGCTCATGTAACCACCAGAGCAAGAGGCAGCCTCAGCCTCTATGGGAGCTGCAACAGGCCACCCCTGTCAGCCTGGTCACTGCTCAGCCCACATGCTGCAGACATTCTGACAAGAGACTGGTGGGAACATTTGAGTTAGAGCCACACGACTTCGACCTCTGGCTCGTGCTTGTGGCCTACTGCTTCTTAGCTTCCCTACAGTTTTAACCAAACAGGTTGTTCAATTCATACTCACTTAGAGGGAAGCACATTGATAATTGCAAAAAGCAAATCTGACATCAGGGAAATAAATGTACAGTATTGACAGAAAAACAGCTATCTGCTCTCACGTTTTTTTCTCTTTTCCCAACATTCCATTGATAAGAGCAAATAGAACAACGTGTGGAATCTAAAATGGCCTCCACTGGTCTTCACCTACTGGTGTTCACCCCTGCACTTGACCTAATGACTTCCTTCTAATGAACAGACTATCACAGAAGTGAAGATATATTCCGCGTTATGCCCAAAATTAGATCGCAAAACTTTTGGCTTCCATCTTGAGTGCCTTTTCTTACACTCTCTCTCATGGTGAGGGGAGCTGTCTGCCATGCACCGTGAAGGGGCGCCCGCGGCAAAGATGATGGGAGGGCGCCAGACAACAGCTCAAGAAGTGAATCCTGCCGACAACCTCGTCCAAGCTGGTAAGCAGGTCCCCCCTTAGTGGAGTCTTGGAATGAGAGCCCAGCGCGGCACATACCTTAACTGCAGCCCCGTGTGAGACCCTGAAACAGCGCCTAACTGAGCCACACCTGAATTCACAAGGGGCTAATTCACTGCCTCTTTGTTGTTTCAACACAGTGCCCTGGGGCAATGCGGAAGTACACCCCCAAGAGCCTGGGGGCCAAGCAGAGCACCCTGAGGGCAACCTCCTCTTTCTACTCAGCCTAGTCCACACTTGCTGTTGCGTGACCGTGCTTGCCTTGAGTGTGTATGTGCAAGCCCCACCTCCGGGCCTAGAGTCTGCGCCTGTCAGGTGCCATGTTGTGCCGACATGGCTATGGCTCCAGGCTTCCTCATTCGTGGGCTCTGCCGAGAAAGTGACTTTTGCACATCACCTTTCATGGTTCATTTGCTCAGCTACCACAGACCGAGTCCTTGACATCAAGGAGCCCACAGTCGAGAGAACAAGACAGACACAGAGTACCTGATTACAATGCGGCGAGGTAGGGCCACTCAGATAAACAACTGTGATATAAGCTAGAAAGATCTGCGTGTCAAAGACAGGACCATGGTGCGAGTCAAAAGGAACAATCATTAGCTGCGGAGGGCAGGAAAGCTGCCCCGGAAGCGATGCCGCCAGCAAGACCCCGAAGGGTAAGTTCTATGACGAGCAGACAATGAAAGCAGTAGCATCCCAAACAGAAAAGACCTGGAACAGAGGCTCGGACTGGGTTCCCAGGCCCTGCTCTTGACTAGAACCTGTGATCCTGAAAGGGTGCAAAGGCACGAGAGCAGAGCCAGAGCAGTGGGCTGGCTCCCGTCCCGAGGGCCTCGGCCGGGGCGTGGGCCAGAACTGCAGACCTGCCGCAGGCTTGGGACTGCGGGACGCGTGTCGCTGCCCACCGGGCAGGCAGACCTTTGCCTGCTGGCGCCTCGCAGGCGGGAAGTAGTGGAGGCCAACGGCGGCCAGTGCAGACACTTAGAGAGCAGGGGGCGAGCAGAGACGGGAAGAGCAGAGAGGGGGCAGGGGCAGTGAGAGACGCAGTCCGGAGCGAGGTGCGAGCACAAAGCCAGCAGGGGAAGAAAACAGTCACCCACTGGTGTTGGAAGTCACTTTATTGCTTTGATGTGGAGGTCTTCTTCAGGCAGCAAGGACTTACCTTTCCCAGTTCCCGTCTCCTCATGGCAGGTGATCATGATCGGCCCCCCGCCCCCGCCCACACTCTTGCAGCAGACACGGAACTTTGAGAAAAGCCAGAGCGTGCAAGGCCCAGCGCCTCTGGTGAAGAGGCTCGGTACTCACCATGTCCATGATAGAGATGGGTCCCAGGGTGTTGACGGCGAGACTGACAGTGACCTCAGTGGGCCTCTCTGGAAAGGTGCATAAATGGAGCGTGTGAGGGTCGCACAAGGACATGGGGGCAAGGCACAGGGAGACAGGTGAGGTTGGGACACGGTGTTAACGCCCAGCCCCACTTTTCTCTGGGTTCCTTCATGTTGTTCAGACCTGACGTACCTCAGGGGCAAGCCCCTCATCCGGTCCTCTCACTCTATAGTTGGAAGAACTGAGGGAGACAGAAGGGCCGAGTCTAGCCCACGGTCACAGTGGCGCTGAGGTGACGGTTGCTATCCCTCCCCTGCCCCTGGGCCGCGGCCCCTGCCCAGCACCGGCCTGCTACTCACCGCCAATGCCGGGGCGCAGCCTGTGGTCGTAGTTGCGCAGTATGGAGTCCAGGATTTCAGTGGCCGTTGCCATTTTGCTGGCTGTGCTGGGGAGACCCACAGCTGTGGTCTTGCTTTCTTCGGGCAGGAGCGTTACAGGACCCGGGAGTGTAGGGCTGTAGACGGCACGGCCAGGGGCAGACGGTTCGTTCTCCGCCTCCACGTCGGAGCCTTTGATCCTAGAACACAGAAGGCCAAACAAACACGAAGCACTACAGGCAGGGCCCAAGCTGCTGCCACTTGGGAGGGGCACCCCAAGGCGCAGGTAGAGAGAGCCAGCAACAGGCAAGACTCTTATCTCCAAATCTTGCTGCTCTTTGGGAACGCTCCACGCTGCCCCTCTTCCTGAGAATTCCTTCTGTGAGAAGAGGATGAACACAACCAAACGGGGCGGGGGGGGGGGGTCAAGGGCTGTTTCCGTGTAAACGAAGGCGAGGGTGCTGGTGCGATGTCCTGTGCTCTCGGCTGCACGCCGGCCCTGGCCTCCAGCCAGCTTGGCCAGCAGCGCGGACACCAGGCACGCAGAGCACCAGCCCCTGAGGAACGCTGGGCAGGCAGAGCAGCGTCTGAGAGGCTGCACGCTGAGGGGTCTGCAGCACTGCCTGGCCTCTGTGACACTCGCCTCACGGAGTCTGGGGAATGGAGTCGGGGTGGGGTCTGTACCCGGCCAGAAAGGCCAGCGCTTATCAGAGACACGCCTCAGGGAAAGGCCCACAGGGCCCCGGCCAGCCCTGCGCACACACTGCCACAGAGAGAATTCAAGGAGCGCACGGTGGGCACAGAGGTTGGCGAGGTGCCATATTTGCCTGGGGGCAGGAAGCGAGCCTGCGCCCATCAGGCGGACGGCCCTAGACGGGCGCGTCACCTTCGCAGCACGCTCGGGTGTGCACCTGGGTTTCGGTGGAGCCCTCTGTATGCGCTCTCGTTCAGGAAAGTCAAACAGAAAACGGCTGATAACAGCCTGCTGACAGACGGACCTCCGGCCGCTGATTCTGAAGGCAGACTGTTGCCCAACAGAGCCAACACACACCCTGACACAAAACGGGGGCCTGGGCCCCAGCAGTCCCTTCGGCAGAGCCCTGGTATTTCATGATGCCTTCGAGCCAGTCTGGCCAGGGATGCGGACTGCAGGCACTGCGTGGCTGAGCTGTGCGTCCAAGTGGACGGTGGGGAGGAAGCGGGAGGGCCCGAGTCAGGGAGTAGCGAGGCTGGTCACGGGTTCGCCCCCTGTGCCTCCTTTATCTCTGAAAAAACTGAAAGTCATCACTAGATTCGTTTGTGATGCGGGAAGGCAGGAGGACCCCTTCCGCTGGGGAGGGCATGTGTGAGGGGCTGTCGGGAGGGCGCCGGCAATGTTCCGTTTCCTGGCCTAGGGCCGCTGGCCTGGGCACGGAGCTGTTCATCCGATCTCTCCATGACTGGCACGTTACACTTGGAATAGGGTTGTCGTTTTAAGCCCATCGGTCACCTGCTTGCTAAACTAAGGGGCTGACAGGAGAGGACACGGGAGGCTGCCACGGCCTCTGTGCTGCAGACCGGGGCACTGCCAACCGGAGCAGCTAAATGCACTTTCCACAGTACTGCAAGCACTGAGAATCGCTTAACTGGCATACAGATGTGCCAAGCCTGTGCCATTTTTCATGTCTGAAGTGGCTAATTCCCACCACGGGCAAGGAATGGACTTGGGAAAGGCAGCTTTTATTTTCAAATAGCACACCTTGGGGTGTCCTGACAACCCACCACCCCACCTGCCCACAGTATCAATGCCAGCCAGTGCGAGTGGGGGTGGGCAGGAGGGGGACCCAGCTGATGCCCTGCAAGTGAGCACTTGGGCAGGAACATGGCAGATTCTGGCTTGGTACTGCCATTCCAGACCACCCAAGCGCCTGCAGCAGCCCCTCCCAGATGTCTGGAGCCAACAACAAGAGCCCCATGGTGCAAGAGGCAAAGAAAACGCCCTGGAAGCCACGGAAGCCGCCCCCCCCCCCAGACCTGCGGCAGAGGCCTCAGGCTGCCATCATTTCACACTTCACTTTGGCCAGTGAAAACCACAACCCTAGCAAACTCCAAACAACCTCATCCTGCTGCCCCGCCAGCCAGGACGGAAGGGAAGAAGAAAAGGGCGGCTGGATTGCTACCCCCACACCAACCCTCTTTTTCACCCGACATGGGAAAAACTGAGGCCCGGGGGAGAAGGGCTGTGCCGAGCTGAGGCTGAGCTGCTGAGCAGACCAGGGTGCCTGCCCTGCCCTGTGTGGTCCTGGCCAGCACACCCGCACACCTTGTGGAGGCCTCCAGGCCTGGCCCCAGCCCCGCTTCAAGGCTGGAAAGCTGGTTCCATATCAATAGCCCTTCTTCCGGCTGTTTTCCTCTGGGCTCTCCTCCCTGCCCTCCCCCCCCACCCCCCTTTGCTCGATCCAGCCACCAGGTCAGCTTTTCCAAGCAGTCCTGATCTCATCTGGAGGGAGGTGATGACTGGAAATTCCTAGCACGCACTTAGAAATAGTTACCAAGCCCCTTGCAAACAGCCCCCCTCTAGCCACCCCCTAGGGCACCAGTGAGGCCCTGAAGCCCCGTGCCAAGGGAGGCACACGGCAGCTGATGCATTCAGGGGTGGGGAGGGCAGCCATCTCCCCAAAACAGATAAGCAAGCCGCCATGGAAACTTCGAGAAGCCCTCCCAGATCAGAAGAGCTCGGTAACTTGTGACAGTTTGCACCTAGCAGTAAATCTCGAAAATACTAAGCAATCTTCCTGCACTGTAGAGCGCAGAAACACCGAGGGAAAGCTTCCCGCAAAGCATCAGGGTCAGAGGAGGGTGTGCAGGAAAGAGGCTTTGGACAAGGAGGATACGAGTCGGGGCTTCGCAAATCGGGACCTGCTGCCTCAGCCCAGAAAGAGGTTCCAGCCTGGGCACTGGTCTGCCCCAGAACCCCGCAGAGGCGGGGGGGCGGGGGGGGCGGTCGCAGGGGAGGCTGGCCAGGGGGCCGCCGAGGTGGGGGGAGCTGGGGCCGGAAGCCCCGGACCCGGACCTAACGCGGGCGGGCGCCCGGGACTGGCACGGAGCGCAGTGGCGGGAAGGGAAGCGAGTGGAGGCAAAGTTGGCTGGCGCCCTGCCTGGTACCCAGCAGGCGCTTGGGAAAGATGGATTTTTGAAGGAGAGGGCGGACTGAGCGACACTCAAACCTTTTGGGCGCAGTTTCGCTGATCCGGCCCCGTGTGCCTTTCGGGGAGCCGCGGCCCCAAGGGCCCCTGCCCGCCGCCCCCACCAGCGCCAGCCCGCCCGGGCCGGACCCCGCGCGCGTCTTCCCACGGAAGATTCAGGAAACGAGGGGCGCTGGATCCCGCCGCCGGGGCGGGGAAAGCTGGCGTCTGTCCCGGGAGCAAGCTGCCGGGCAAGGTCCTGCCTTTTCCCGCCCCTCCCCCACCCCTGTACCCCTTCAGGGGCGGGTGCCGCGCGTCGAGGGGCCGCAGGATCCCGCGGACCCGCGGGATATCGGGGCGCCCGTCCCGGGCGGGAGACTCACCCCGACGGGAAGAAGATGGCCAGGCCCAGCAGGATCAGAAGTTTGGGCTGCATGGTGATGGGGACCGGGGCGACCACCTGCTCGGAGGTCGCAGCGCTCGGTCTGGCCGCACTGGCGCGGCGGGAGGGTTTTGTGGCTCCCACGTCCACGCCCCCCGATCGCCCCGCCCCCGGGCCCGCCCCCTTCCCCGATGGAAATCTCCGACGACTGGTTCCCGCCCCCGCCCCCTGCGCCTCCCCCGGCGCCACCAGCCAGCCAGAGGCGGGGGACTGGAGAGGAGGCGAGCGGGCGGCGCGCCTGCCGGGGCGGGGAGACTGGCGTCCGCGCAGCAGCGGAGGGAGGGCTGCGAAGAAGGGATCGGGCTGGGGGCGGCTGGGCCGAGCCAGTGGGGGGTTTCTGCGTCACCGGCGCCCCCCGCAGCCTGCTGCTGTGTGTGTGTGGGGGAGTGGACTGTGGCCTCCGGCTGGCCCCTCAGAGCCCCACCTGTTGCTCCCCACCTCCGCTCCTGGTCTCTGAGATCCCCTTGCCCACCGTGCACCTTGGAGCTCTGGAGGCAACTGGGGAACAGAGCACTTTCCTCAGCACAGGGGAGAAAGAGAGAGGGGGCGGCCCCCCAGCCAGCTGTGTGAGCTGTGCCACTCCCATGCCACTTTGCTAGAGCTGGGCTGTGGAGGAGGGCCGGCCACTGAGGACCCAGGCCACACATTCTCAACATGGCTTCTGTGACCCCATGAGGCACCCGTTCTGGTCCTGGTTTATTGTCCCCCCCCCCCTGCAGCACCTGACTGGAGGGGATGAGTGAACCCTGAAAATCCCCTGCGTGACTGGCTGGCCCATCATCTGTCCAGACACTGGCTCCTGGTGTGGCCCAACAGAGAGGAGACTTCCGCACCCTCCCTCAGAGGCAGATCTCAGGAGTCTGGGGTCTCCTTGGACTTAGTGTTTCTTGGCTACACCGTCAGGATCCTCTTCAGAGGGAAGGGCTCTCGGGGCTGGCCAAACACTAGCAGCATCCTCACCTGTCGCCCACATGAGCCACGTGCCTCCCAGTCGGCGTGCAGGCACCCTGGGAGGCGCCCTGTGCCATGCTCACCCACGCACCGCCCACCCAGGCACTCTGTCTGCTTTGTCGTCTAGGGCACAGATCTCTCTTTTGCCTGTTTGTGAGGGGCTTCCCCCACCCTCATCTCCACCCCCTGGACTAAGAGCAGTGAGGGAAAGGGATCCAAACCAAAAAAGTGCCCATTTTCCCCCACATCCGGGAAACTTACATGAGTGGGGTGCACAATGATCTTTGACCCACATTGCTGGTGCGCGTGTGCTACAGTGTGCGCCCAGAGCCCCCAGGGCCTTGCCCATGGGGTCCTTTTCGGTCTCTGCACAACACCGAGAAGATTCGGGTACCCTCAGATTCAGTCTCAGGGCCCGGGCAGCACTCTGGGCGCAGATAGCCCCACACTCACTCGCGTCCATGCTCACAGTGCCTCTCGTGAAGTTCTTGATCGGTCTGAACAAGATCAAGGCCGTGTCTTCCCCTGCGCCCTTTTGTCCTCGGGTGCAGGCTGCCAGGCAGGGGCCACTGCTGCCCTCTGTCTGTTTACTTTCTTTTTCAAATTTGTTTTCGATTTTCTTACGCCGCCATTGTTCATTTTCATACAGTATGTGATTTCTCCCCTCAGATGGAGCTCCATAAGTCTCCCAACACCCATCCCCTGTGACCATCACCACAGCCCCTTGTGCTCTTCCCCCCCTTCAGAGCCCTCTCCCACCCCACCCCCGCCATTTGCCTCAGATCTATGGTCTGCCCGAAAGTCTGGTCGTTCTCCTGACCTGTGTTTGGTTCCCCCACGCTTCTGTAAGCGAGACCATCCGCTGCTCTTCTCGTTTCCTTCTGACGTATCTTACCAAGATCACCCCTTCCAGCTCCATCCGCGTTGTCTCAGTGGCATGAGTGTAGCATGTGTGATGGCTGAGTAGTGTTCCGTTGTGCAGACACCATCGTTGATCCACTCTGTTCTGGAACACTCGGGCTGTTTCCTCATCTCGGCCACTGCCAGGAGCGCTGCGGGAGACAGGGAGCAGGCTTCCCACCGAGTTAGTGTTTTTGTGTCCTCTAGGTAGATTTGCAGGAGTGGACTCTGTGCACGTCTTTCCTGCCTGCTTGTCTGTGCCAGTCTGGGCACTGGATGGGGAAGCCTCAGCCACGGCCTGGCCTTGGCCAGCACATGCCCAGTCCAAGGTGGGTCCCGGTCTCGTCTGGCAAATGAGTAACCCGAGCTCCCAAGTCGCCGTGGCCCTGGTGCTCCAGGAAGCGGGGCCTTCTGGGGCTCAGCAGGCTTGGGGCAGAGGCCTCCAGACCTGTGCTTGGCTTGAACTTGAACCTGCAACAGTAAGGGCCGCATCCATGGAAGGACAAAGGTGGCCGTTCCAAACAGAGCCCCCGTCCGGGGGGACAACAGCCTGGGGGCTAGACAGGCTGGCAGCGGGCTTGGGCACCCAGCCAGGCACGCCTGACTTCTCAGGCAAAGGGAGGTACGCGTGGTGTTGGGCAGGGACAGTGCCTGTCACGACTGTCCCTCGAGAAGCCCCTGTGGTGGGGCGGGAGCAGTCGGAGGACAGACTCAAGCCTGCCAGAACAGGAGCAGCGGGGAGGGGGCAGTGGGGATGGAATGAGCAGAGCCAGGGAGAGAGGCAGCAGCACCGGGGAGCTTGGCTGATGAGTCACTGGCGGGAGTGGGGCGGAGGCAGAGGACGGAAGGTGGCTGGGAAGATGCAGGGCTAGCCCCAGGTGAGCAGGGCGGCCGGACAGGGAGAGGCGGCAGGAGGGAATATGAGTCATGGGAAGAAAGCAGCCCTTGACTGCATCTCAATCCACTGGGCCAAGAACATGCACATGTTTGCCTAGACGTGCGTGTGTGCGTGCGCGCGTGCGTGCGTGCGGGCACGTCCCTGCCCAGTTCTCTGTGCTTGGTTGTTCGTACCTCAAATATCTCTCTTCAGCTTGGTGTTGGAAGTGGGCATGAAAATTTCAACAGCAGCTGTATTTCCACAGCTCCGTCTGCTGCCTGGGTAGGACGTCTGTGAGCGGCCCCTCCTCAGCTGTGAGCAGTTACAGTTAGTCAGCAGTTTAATCAAAGCAGCACGTGTGCACCGCTGTGTGGTTTCAGGTAAACCCAGCGCTGGTGGGCCAGAAAGGGTTTCCTGCCCCAGCGTGGGCCCGAATGTAACACAGAGGAACAGGCTCCTTGCCTGTGGGGTATCTGGGCTGTGGAGGACGGAGGTGCCAGGGGCGGGGGTCAGCGGAACAGAGGCCCATGAAGAGGAAACCAGGAGCCAGAGAAGCTGGGCGGTGGCATGGAGGCTGTGGTGAGGCCTGCAGGCACCAGCACATGCGATCCTGGCATTGCATTTCAGTTCCTTCACTGAAGGGTCGTTGAGTGGACAAGAGCGAGTTGCTGGAAGGGCCCAGAACTGCATGTTCCTCATGTCTGTAACGGGGTTCTCACCTGGCTTCTGGGGGAGCTAATGGCATCAGTCATGGAAAGTGCAGCGTCCACTGGGTGGTCAGGACGCCGCAGACTCAGCATTATCATTACTAGCTCCTAACTGCTAGCTAGAAGTGCAGGTATAGCTGGTAGCCCGAGGCTCCCAACGGCACCCACGGGGTGCCTGAGTGAGGACGAGACCCCAGCACAGACGTGGACCGCGAGGCAGACATGGCCAGAGCAGGACTCTGCCTCAGGGACCGGACCACTGGGCAGGTGCCCGAGTCGGGGGTCCAGGTGTGGTCTCTGTGGGCCTGGCTGCACATGGGCTCAGACCTGTTTGGGTCCCTGGGCCTGGCTCAAGGCCTTTCAGAAAAGGAAGAGACTCCAGGAAAGAGCAGCCTTATGAGGAGGCCCCGGCCAGCGCGAGCTGAGTGTGAGACCCGGCGCGTCTGTGGATGCTCGCCGTGCGGGAGCAGCACAGAGTGCTCAAGTGAGGGGGAGGAAAGCGTTGGGGACAGGTCATGTTCGTGGCTTCAAGGTGAATGAGACACCAGCTCGCCATGGGCTGAGTGGAGGGAGAGGGAGAAAGACCAGAAGGGGAGGAGGCACAAGGCTGGGGGCCTGGTGTGCAGAGTGAGGTCAATGGGCCTGGAAGGGCTGGGGTCGGGCAAGAGGCCACCGCTGAGAAGGCGGCTCTGGTGTGAAAGGACAGTGAACGCGAGCGCAGGTTTCGCCTGCCCTTCGCCTGCCCTTCGCCTGCCCTTCGCCTGCCCTGCGCGGGCAGACAGTGAGTGGGGAGAGCAGCGAGGACCAGCAGCAGCGCACAGCTCGGAATGCCGCAGGGCGGGCGGCGTGGGGGAGCGTGGCCCTGAGCAGAGCCGCGCAGGCTTGGGGTGGGGGGTCGCCTTCGGCTGGAAGTGGGGGGCACGCACCGGCCAGGGTTTGCTCTTGCTGTGTTTTGTTTTCTGGTAGAAAGATGGGAAGTTCGGTTTGGGCATGTGGCGTTTGAGAGAGCCAGTCCCCAAGTACAGCCCCATTCACGAGTGTGAGGTTCAGCTGCGGCTATAAAAGGGCGGGTCATTAGCATGGAAATAGCACTTGCCGTCTTGGGCCTGCAGATGGTCAGCATGACGCGAGCGTGGTGAGCATGGCTGGAGAAGCGCAGTGATGGGAGGCCTGAGCGCGAGGAGGAATTGGAGAGGCACTGGGTGAGGGGGCTGAGCGGGCAGACAGCTGGTGCGAGGGAGGGGCCGTGGCAACGGCTGGCGCAGGTGGCGTGGGGGGCCTGACAGTTGCGCGTGGAAGTCAGCCATGTTGCCAAGACAAGCTGCCATCCTGCACTCGATGCTGGGCAGCTGCGAAGGCCTCGGGAGCCTGGCACCGAAGACCAGGGAGCCGCGATGGCGGCCCTGGGACAGCGTGCCCTGCTGTCTCCACTTGGGCCTCTCCCCATCAGCAGCCTCGCGTGTCCTCTTCTGTGTAGAAAGGGGTAATGCTTCCAGCCTCCTGCTTTTTCACTCTCTGAGTGCTGGGATTCAGCGACAAGCTGGACTAAGGCCCTGCCT